AATTCCTTCAGTTTTTGAGCTTTCCAGAAGCGCCAAGTCCGGTTTGATTTGTCGAAAAATGTGATAGGCAAGAAACGGAATCCTGAGCTGGAAAAAGTACTGGATCTGCCATTTTTTGTATCCAAAAGTCAATTTAGGCAATAGCCACGCTGAAGGCAATTCTGAAATCGATCGGCTGCTCCCTGTTAACGATACTTTTGTATCTGGGATTTATGGCGGTGCTTTGTGCGCCCTGCCTTTATCACTATACTTGTCGAAAAAATAGCTTTCACAACAGGCATCGATTTTCGAGGAGTATTGTAAGGTACGTTGCGAAAAATTTCATCGAAGTTTATAGAAAACATCTCTTTGGTAGCAATTTAAACGAGAAAAACCACATTTTTAACTGACCACCGGCACTGGTTAACCACCGAAAAATTAAAAATTTAACTTTTTGACCGATTAAGTCTTAAATCGGAACCATCGGAGAAGGGGGATTGGGGGGGGGGGGACCACTTTTCCTTTTTTTTTTATATATAGTAGGGGAGGTCTTCTAAATTGTTTATAGCTATTCCCAAACAAAAATACTTCTACAAAACTTAATTAAAAACTTAATTTTGGGTCGAAATTCTTTTTCTGCCCCCAAATGACCCAATTTTCGGCTTTTTCCACGGGTTTTTACTTTTTAAATTTTTCTGCCACAAAAAGGCTTAATTTTGCTAAAAACAATGTGAAAACATTTTTTTTTTTATTACTCCCCCCCCCCCCAAAACCCCCCCCCCCCCCCAACCCCCCGGCTTTCCCGAATCCTTTACCCTTACGTATAAATAGCCCTCAAAAGACAGTTTAGCCTTAAAAAACTGGGAACCTGGGGAACGTGGAAAAATTCGACATCCGATTAATTTCAGATACATGTCGCACGGGTATCACTACTTCATTTTCTACTTCTCTCTGATTCTCACCACGCTCCTACTTTCATTGAATTTCACGCTAATCAACTCAGTGCATTTAATTGGGAACAATCAACTACCTCCGGAAGTCAGCCAGGTGGGTTTGCGGCGCAATGATCACGTTTTTCAGCCTGTGATGTCTTCGACAACAAAATTTTTGTAAAATAAAACTTTTCATGTTCAGATTTGCATTTTCATTGACACCCCAACACGATCCATCCTCGCTTCAATAGAGCCGGAACCAATTTTTGGCAATCCCAAGCGCCGCGCCAAGTTTTGCAAGCCGTTATGGGAGAATAGGAATATGGGTATAACCTTTGACAGTCTAACGTTATTGATCATTTTTTAGCATTTGGATTGACCCGAAGATTGGCCGGTGCTTGGCAGACTAGGCATATCATTGCGAACAAGCAGATGCTGGTTGGTTCTCTCTCACTCACTCTTTCTCTCCATTCTTTCTCTTTCTCTTTCTCTCTCACTCACTCTCCCTCTCTCTCTCTCTCTCTCTCTCTCTCTCTCTCTCGCTCTCACTATCGCTCTCTCAGATTTTTATTTTTAGGCCGTCTCCACCCAAATCCAGTTCAACTCCACTATTCGGCGCAATCCAGAGATGATTCTCTACTACGATTTTGGGATTTTGGAAGATTTAGGGAGTGCCGAATTTGGTTGCAGACACCGGAATGAGAGTCAATGGTACGGTTTTGCCGTAAATTTTGATATATTTATTTCCAGGGACTTTATCTTCGACTCTTCGCCTCTGCAGTGGCCATATTTCCAGGGTTGCTCGCCAGCTATCCAGATCCGGGAGAAATCGTAGGTTTTCAGGTGTAAAGAGACGCTTAACGTAGCGTGGGGCAACCTTTCGCTCCACTTGACACCTTTGCGAATTCTGCAAAGCGTCTTGACCATTGTTGGTCGGCATCGTTCTGCTAAGCCCTCCCTACTTTCCGTAACTTGCCAATTAACACTGCATTTTTCAGGCTGCTCAACTGCGATAAGCGACAACGAAACGCGCCCGCCGGCAATCGCCACCGAAATGACCCATAAAATCTGGAGGCAACCGAACAAGCGGGAGCAAAAATTACAAACGCACACACAACACGCTTCCGCGGTCTTTTCGAATAAACGGGTTTATCTATGGAATTTCTGGCCCAAAAAGAACGATGAAAAAACCGCATAAGTTTTGGCCCGACCGACAAAAATGGCGCTTTTCTTGTATAGTTAAGATCCCCGGAGCCAAAAAAAGCTCCGGTCAGATCCCTGGCATGATTCTGCTTTCTGCTTCCAGGAAAGCAGTTGTAAATTCGGGGCTCACTAGCGAATTATCAGTGGGAAAGCCGGGAGTCGAAGAGGTGATGCAAATCGGGGGGAAAAAGCCAGAAATGGACATTGCTTGTCTGGCTCGCAGGGATATATTGGATTTTGGTGTTGGACAGGGCTTAGGCTTGGCGTAGGCTTAGGCTCAGGCCCAGCTTAGGCTTAGGCCTAGGCTTAGGCTTAGGCTTAGGCTTAGGCTTAGGCTTAGGCTTAGGCTTAGGCTTAGGCTTAGGCTTAGGCTTAGGCTTAGGCTTAGGCTTAGGCTTAGGCTTAGGCTTAGGCTTGGCTTAGGCCCATTAGGCTTAGGCCCATTAGGCTTAGGCTTAGGATTCGACTTGGGAACGCAGAAAGAAACAAAAAAAGCTATTTCCCCAATGCCCAGGCCGCTATACAAACACCCCTCCACCACCAAACAGCATCCCGTTGCGGACAATGAGTAAACCCACACACCTCCAAAATAATTGCAATCGTATCGGGCATGGGGGGCCGTAAAACTTGACTAGGCGTCGATTTCAGATGCCATTATTTGGGGACGCACAAATAGAAAAAGGTGTCTGATTCAATGCAATGGAATCAGGATCCAGAAAATACGTGTAATCGCAGGGTTGGGTAATCTTGGGTTAGATCGGCGTGGGGATGATTCATGAAGTCGAGGTTGCAAAACCTGCAGCTGGATGAAAAGCGAGAGATGGTCAGAGAGAGCGAGAGCGAGAGAGATAGAGAGAGAGCCAGAGAGAGAGAGAGAGAGAGAGAGAGAGAGAGAGAGAGCTAATTGAGACATCTTTGTGTTGAGACAACGGGTTTGGCCTGGATATATTTTCTTGAATTCATGAAGCTGGGTAATGCCAAAATCGACCCTTTTAGTCGACTGGGTCTCGTCAGTACCGCGCCACGCCAAAATACACGCGAGAGAACTTTTGGATTTCTCGAAATTAGCATCAGTTTGTCTTGTCAATTTATCGTCACCAAGACCCGATTTTTGCGCTTCCTAGTAGCTTTAACGGAGCTTACAATGGCGCAGAAGAAAAATTTCAGACCGAAAATAATAGTAGAGCAAAAAATGTTTCCAGGTGGAAAAACGTTAAAAATGGAAAACCTTTCCGGCCAAATGCTGGTCTCGTCAATAAAACCCACGCAAATCCTCTACAGTACTAATCACTACCACCAACTTTCAAAGACCCACACGGCGCCTCCTTTACGACAAAGCGTCTCCAAACTTCCAGCAATCAAGAAGTCAAAAAGAATTTCCGGTGCAGATATCACGGCAAAATCATCATTTTCCCTGTTCTTCCAGGTCCCACTTCTGCGGCTTGACTCATCAACCGCTATCAGTACTCCCACCCAGAAAGTGGCAGCCCCCACACAAGCCCCAATCGGATTGCCAGTGTCTTCGGCCGCCGGCTTACACATTGGCTTTTCTCGGGCGATTTTTAAGCTGATAAGCTCCCCCGGGGCTTACTATGGAATTATGACGGCTTATTGGGCTGCTGTTAGGCTTAATTTTCGAGCCTAAAACTTGCTAGAAGCCCTGGATTAACGAAAAATGTGATCATATTGCTGGCATCTTGCCCTAAACGGCGCTATAATGTGTATCTCGATTGGATGAAATTCTGAGATTTCAACAATTCTGCGATTTCAGCGATATTTGAGCCATTCTGAAAGTAGAAATTAGACATTCCAGGGATAAATTTCAATAAGGCGCTAATTCCTCGGTACCGCAACGATTTCGAGCAGTTCAGCTTCTCCGCGCGCGTCGCGTGACCGTATAAAACCGCATAAAAACCCATTTTGCTCCAAAAGAACGGCTAAGTCCTGATTACCAATGCTACCCACTGCTTTAAGATACATTTAAGGCTCCTCCACTTTTCGCGGAATATGCGTGGTGTCGCATTTTTCTGATTCCGAGCCAAAGGAATCAGCTCGCTCCAAATTCAAATTTTTCCAGGGCCAGTCCCCCGGATCCGGGTCACCCCACACGCCAGGATGGAGCGTGAACGGTTGATCACGATCATCCTGCTGGCGATAGCCCTCGTCTTTCTCATCGCCGGGTCGGTGATGCTCGGCGTTGGGATACACAAGTCGAAGCAGACGAAGGATTGTCCAGGTTCGTGTAATTACTACATTACCATGCTTTTCACCCTTACCGTAACCCCTTCTTGTTTTTTTAGTGGGAGCTTTCTATTTTTAATTAGATCGCCCAAAAATCGCGTCAAGAAGCTATTAAAGTTTTGTTCTTTTGTCCTTTTTTTACACTAAACGCCGTCATTTTCGGAGCCACGGACCGCCGCTTATCAAATTCGGCCACTGGTAGTATATTTCTGCGGGCTAGCCGCCATCCCACGCAACTCCCTAAAAATACGATAGGGGTCCAAAAACGCAGACCAATCGATAATCGGTTTCCGAATTTTTGGAAATACGTGTAGTGTACCAAAAAAAATCTTCAAGCGGCGGAAAAGAACGATTTTTCGTAGGGTTTGGTCCTTAAGAGTTCCCGAACAGAACCCAGAAAAAACTTTCAAGAAAAGGAAAAACAAAGAGTCGAAAAATTAGGATGCAGCCCTTTAAAACAGCAAAATCACAAAATCTTTATTAAAGCCCGAGGGCAACCGGCATTAGCTTGTTCAGTACAAAGCAGCATAATCGAAAACGGGAGCACAACACGAAGAGGTTCATAGCAAAAAATGTGCACAAGCATGGCAGTGAGGCGATATAAATTGACGCAAAAAACGGTAAATTAAAAAGCGCTTCGATTCACATCCCGTCGTACTTTGGCCCTTCACCGCCCTGCGGCGTCACCCAGTTGATGTTCTGCGAGGGGTCCTAAATCGGAAAATCGGGTGAACAAGTTGGATAAGCTGGAAAGCGGGGAGCTAAGCTCGAAAGGCAAGCTCGAAAAGCACGCTCAAAGCCAAGCAAGAAAACTACGTTCAAGACCAAGCTCGCAAGCCAAGTTCCTAAGCTAAGCACGAAAGCCAAGCTCGTAAGCGTACCTTGATGTCGCACGTCTTGCAGTGGATGCAATTCTGGGCGTTGATCTGGAGGCGCATCTGGTCGGAGGCCGTTTCCGAGGGCACGAATTCGTAGACACCTAAAAATTCAGCTAATCGTAAACCCGAAAAACTGACCAGCAGGGCAAAAACGCGACTCGGGGCCGTCAAACTGCTTGAGGTTGATGTCGAGCGGGGCTTTGTCATCCTAGAAATTGAAATATTGTCCTTTTTTTCTGAACCGACTGAACTTGTGGGGGGCACAGTTGGGTAGTTATGAGCGTCGAGATAGTGTCCTAGCATTAATGCTCTGCTATTGCTGCTGAACGTCTCGAAATTGAGGTAAAAATTCAGGCGATTCGAATCTCTTCATCGCCAAGCATCTAGCCTATCATTAATGCTCGTAATTAAATTCCTTCACAGCACCTTGAGCGTCAAGTGGCTCGGCTGGTCCTCCTGGTGATTGGTGCCGGTGAGCGACACCGAGTTCAGCAGGTCGAATGTCAGCTTGTTGTCGGCCTTCTTGTTGTAGTCGATGGGCTAGGGAAGCGTTCTTGCTCCTTGTGTTCATCTACCTTCGCCTTGTCCTTCGGGAGAAGCTTCTCGTTGTCCGGCTTGCCATGGTCGAGGGTCCAGGGTTCGAGGCCGCGGCCGAGCACGTAGAAGAGGCCGGTGTAGGCCAGGCCACCGAGGTATCCTGGGCTTATTAAGTCGGGAATTTGTATATTCTCTACCCAAAGAAGTATTAAACGAGGGCCGCACGTTCCTTGTTGCCCTCAGCTCCTTCATCACGTACGTGTCTTCCAGAGCTTTTGGGTAGGAGGCCGGCTCGATGCCTAAGCACCAAGGTTTGATCATCTACCCGAACGCCCTACTGCTCTTCTCCGGATTCGTGCCAATCTCCTTGTAGATGCTCTCCGCGGCCACCATGCCGCTTTTCATGGCGTTATGGGTGCCCTTCAGCTTGGCCACGTTGAGCAGGCCGGCCGTGCAGCCGACGAGGCAGCCGCCTGGAGGACGAGTTCAAGGCGTTAAATTTTGATGTTCTACCCGGGAACGAGAGCTTCGGGACTCCTTGGTAGCCGCCCTCATTGATGGCACGGGCTCCGTAGCCGATACGCTGTCCGCCCTCGAGTTGGGAGCGGATGGAGGGGTGAAGTTTGTAGCGTTGGAACTCCTGGAGAGCGTTTTTAGAGAGAGAGAGAGAGAGAGAGAGAGAGAGAGAGAGAGAGAGAGAGAGAGAAAGAGAGAAAGCGAGTGAGTGAGGGAGAAAGAACCTGCCTGATACGGATTCATGTAGGGGTTCTTATAGTCGAGGGCAACAATGAAGCCGATCGAGACGAGTGGCTGGCCATTATCCTCGATGTGGTAAAGGAAGGAGCCACCGTAGCTGTCGGAAGACTATAAAAGGCGTTTTCCAGGCTTTACTGACCCTTTAATGGTGCTCGAAAGGTCAAATTCTAACCATCGGCCATCCCATCGTGTGCTCAATGTAGCCGGGGCGATGCTTGGCCGGGTCGATTTGCCACAGTTCCTTGATGCCGAGGCCGTAGGACATCGGATGGGTTTGGAGCTTGAAGCGGTCGGTGACCTGAAAAGCAGGTAGACGGATGGAGAGAGAAACTGCTCACCTGCTTCGTCAAATGCCCACGACATCCCTCGGCAAAAATGGTGCACTTGGCGTGGAGCTCCATGCCGCGCTCGAAGCCCTCCTAGGAGTTGTGGATTACATTATAGAGTTCATGCTCAATTATACCTTTGGAGCACCATCCTTCCCAATCCCAACATCGTTGGTGGCAATTCCCTTGACGCTTCCGTCTTCGTTGTAGAGGACCTAATTTCTCAAGGTTTGAATAGCGAGCGAGAGAGCGAGAGAGAGAGAGAAAGATAGAGAGAGCGAGGGAGAGTGAGGCTTCATTTCACCTCCGAAGCAGCATATCCCGGGTAGATCTCAACGCCCTGCTGCTCGGCCACCTGACCCAACCAGTTGACGACGTGACCGAGGCGTACAACGTAATTTCCTAAAGTTAGGGGTCACCCGCTACTCACAAAACCCATACCGATGTTGTACAACGGAACACCCGGGAAAACCGGGACCGGAATTCGGCCGGTTTCGGTGAGAATGGCGATCGATTCGGACTAGAATTAAGGGTGAAACCGTCATGTGAAATTTTCCTACCGTAACCTTCTGCTTCACCGGGCTGTCCAACTCCTTCCAATTCGGGAGCAGCTCATCCAGGGCTCGGGTTTCGATGACAGCACCGGAAAGGGTGTGAGCGCCAAGTTCAGCGGCTTTTTCGACGACACAGACGCGGAGTTCTGAAATCTCCTAATCATAACGGTTTCGGTAGATGATCATGACTCTGATGCCAAAAATGTACCCTTTCCCTCCTTCTCCGCAAGTTGCCGAAGTCGGATGGCAGCGGAGAGGCCGGAGGGCCCTAAAAAACTCAGAATTCCTCGCGTTTGAAGAATTCTCTACCTCCACCCACAATCACCACGTCGTACTGGTCCGACTCGCGCTTCATCGGGATGTCCTTCCAGCGCGGGTCCTTCGAGCGGTCCTAAAGGTCCTTTATTTATCGAGATCCGGTGCAAGTAGCCAAGTTCATCCACCGTACCTTGACACTATAGTGCGTGGTGGCCCATTGCCCGTTGACGACGTTTCGGGCGGACGTCGACTTGCGCAAGCAGGTCACGAGGGAGTGGCGCATCGCGAGGACGGCTCAAAAATACTCTAATTTTTTTCGTAGAAACAGAACAGCAGAAAATATGCAAATGAGTAAGTAGTTGCGAAATGGAAATCATTGTGCAAATAGAATGGACGCGAAAAAGCAATGATTGCGTGTCGAACTGTAAAATCCGTAGCAAAACTAAAAGTATAGTAAATTACTATTAGTACAAAATGGAGAAAGTATTTTGTGCTAATTTTTATGCCTTTTTTCAGGAGGTGGTGGCGGAGATTCAACGACACCTGCACCTCAAACAGCTCCCCCGATTGACTACTCCCAAATCAACCCGATCTACGCCTCAACGCGACACACAGATATTACATGGGACCCGGCACTTGCTGATCCGACAACCGCACAATTCAAGGCTGCTGCAGCTACTGTACAGGCCGCGGTAAGTATTAGCTCTAAATATTATAGGAAATTTTTTTGATAGAAGTTAAAACGGCAAGATTTTCCTAAAATCCTGGCAAACACAAACTTTTGCGCAGCTTGTTCAAAAGGGTTTAAAACAAAGATCTGAAAAAGCGTTGCTTTGCTGACGTTAACCTAGACGAGCAGAGAAATCACAAAAAAGCTGCATTTTTGGCGACAGAGCAGCGGTCGGCTGGCTCTTTTTCGCACTCGAACTTTGCCCCCCCATCCTTGAGTGTTCTCTGCTCAGGTGTTCGTTCTCTGAGGCGTCTGCCCGGCCTACAGCAAGGCAAAAACAAGAAAATAACTATAGTTTCGAGGCAAAGATTTTAAATTTAAATTTTCCAGATCAACAAAGCCCTTGGCCCAGCCTCAGTTGCACATGTATTTTTGACTTCGCAAGTCCCGAAAAATGTGATTGTGTCTGGGTTCACGTGAGTTTTTAAATAGAGACTCCACGGGCCTATGAAGCCTGCTCAGGAACTGGCAAAATACCCTTAAAATATGTTTCAGAGCTGACTACTCCCAAACCACCACCATCACCGTGGTCGCCTTCACGACGTTGATCTATTCGGAGGTTGTGGATACGCAGTCTATTACGACGATTGGGGGCGTTTTGGACAAGGCTCTAAATGGCGCCGTCGTTTTCGGAACGCCCTTGGCTCAATGTCACGGAAATCCGATTGTTCCTCCCAACGTTGTTACGCCCAGCACTTCAATGGTACGTTAAATACCACAAGGTTCTTCTCTCTAACTCTCGCCCTCCTTCACTCGCCCCCTCTCTCTAGCGCGCTTTCTCTCTCTCTCGCTCACTCTCGCCCTGGCTCTCCGACTCATCCGATTCCAGGCCCCAACCACCCAACCGAACTGGGACCGCACCACCACCCTGCCCGGAGGCGCTTGGTGCGATGCCTCCACCAAGAACGTGGCCGTCGTCTTCCTCGTCGACATGGCCGTCCCCCAGAATGGAAACTACACCACCAAGGTCACCCAGCTGCAGAACTACCTCCAGAATCTGCCCACCTCCGTCAACCTCCCGTCCACCGGAAACTGGACGAACGTGCAATTCTATTTGGTGCCCTACTACGGATACGCTGCGTATACTGTCGGAAGCTCGCCAGTGACTAGCCGCGCTGCCTGGAATACGGCTGTGCAGTACCTGAACACGTCGCTGAATGTGAACATGATCGATTCGCACAACTTGGCGCAGTAAGTTGGGAGGAGGGAGAGAGAGAGCAGAGAGAGAGAAAGATCTTACTTATTCTTTTTAGCGGTCTCAACTACGTCCAAGAAAGCCTGGGCAAGCAGCTCCCCGTCGGCACCTCCCGTGCCATCATCGCCATCACCGACGGCTTCGACCAGTCCAACACCCAGATGGCCTACGATGCCGCTGGCCAGCTGAAGAGCGAGTATTTCACCATCTCGATTGTCAGTTCCACCACTTCGCTGATGGTAGGCAAAAAATCAAAAATTCGCAACTACAAACGCACAACTTCAAGGAGTACACATCTTTAGGGTCAATCCATCCTCCAATCCATCGCCTCCGATCAATTCCGATACTATCCGCTAGACGACCTCAGCTGGTTGATCAACCGCGGAACGTTGGCCTCGACCAGTTACTGGATTTGCAACGGTAATTGGTAGATGACCATGCGAAGAACTTGTTTTAGCCTATTACCCGACTCCTGCGCCAATCACCACCCAACCTACTCGAGTACCTCTCGAGCTGTCCACGGCTCCACCCACGACGGTGGTTACGGCGACGACCACCCCGGCTCCAACGACCCCTTGTAGGTTTCAGCGGCCGGCTTGAACTTCTTGGCGTAGGGCTTCGTTGTAAAATAACGTCTCAAACGATTCTCATAGACATTTTGGCAAAAATATTTTACTAAATCGCTGTTTTTGGAAAATGAGGATTTGGCAAGGTCGTTTTTGAACACGCGTAGCTTGAAAAACAGGATTTCGAAAACGAGAATTTCAAAATGCGCGTTTTCTAAGACCAGAACTTCGAATTCGCGTTTTGGAAAGGCTGACTTTCACGTTTTCCCGAACAATCTCCCACCTTTCAGACGCAAACTGCCCGGTCGACATGGTGTTCCTCGTCGACGAGTCCCAGTCCATGCTCGACTTGTGGTTCGACAAGGTGTTGACCTACGTCGACAACACGGCCCGCCAAGTGCTGAAGTACCAGAGCAGCGCCCGCTTTGCCCTCGTCAGCTTCAACAAGCGAATCGTGTACTCTTCCTATAATAGCAGCGGATTTTTGGATATCAATGGGTTGGAGGCGGCGCTGAAGGGTATTGCCAGGACCACGGATGTCGTTGATTACACCGTGGGGTTGAACGAGGTCATCAACATCCTCGCTACTTATGGACGGCAACAGAACGACTCGACGGTGTTGCCGTTTGTGATCTTCCTTACGGATGGGTAAGTTAGGCTGGCCAAGCTTTGGTTAGGCTTAGGCTGCGTCTTATGCTTAGGCTTAGGCTTAGGCTTAAATTCAGGTGGAGGCTTAGGCTTATGCATAGCGTTCGGCTTAATAACAGCCAGTTGTCCCGGCGTCAACTATAACTATAATTTCAATTTCCAGTGACCAACTTGCCAACAGCATGAACAGCGTCCTCCCCATCACCACCAAGTTGCGCAACCAATACAAGGCCGAAATCCTTGGCTTCGGCTTGAACCCGAACCCATACCGCGAGAGCTTGATTAAGGTACTTAGACGCTGAGGGGGCCCTATGACTCAATTTTAGCAAGCCATCGGCGTTGGCAGTCCCGACGGCTACACCCCGGCTCGTTATATCCGCGCCAACACCACGGATTACCTGCTCGCCACTTCGCCTCAGGATACTGTGGCTTCGATTGATTGTCATGGAAGCCAGCCGACTCCTAGCACATCGTGCTACACCGATTTTACCTTTATTCTTGAGTCGTCGTACTCGCAGATCGACTACAAGGGCATGGAGCTGGAGGCGATCAAGGCGGCCATTAACTATTATTCTGGATCAATTGGGGCGTACACGGTAAGGCAAGGCGAGGGAGAGAGAAAGAGCGAGAGAGAGAGAAGAAGAGAGAGACAGTGAGAGAGAGAGAGAGAGAGAGAGAGACTAACTCGATTTTTTTCAGGGCCGTCTGTCCGTTGTCTACTTCTCCGCACCAGAAGTCACCGGCACTCTGGTCAGCCAGGTCAGTAATGCTTCATTTTTTTTTGTTTAGTGGTTCGAGGAATGTCTACGTTTAACGTTAATTTTAAATGTTTTAGAGCACCAATCCGGTCGAGGTCATCAACAAGCTGACCCCTGCCAACATTCCAAATGGTGGTGCCAGTGATTTGGCTGGGTTTGTTTTTATTCTTTTCTTGTTTTAGAAAGACGAATTTGTTAAATTTTCTCAGTTTCAACATCATCTGTTTCAGCGCCCTCAACGTTGCCAACAACATCATCTCGAAGAACTACTTCGGAAACAACCAAGTCGTTATTTTAATCGCGAGAGGATTGTAAGTTTTTCGGTCGCTCTCTCTCTCTCTCTCTCTCGTTCTCTCCTTACTCCTGCGCTCCTCAGGTACATCGATGGTAACTCGACAAACTGCTGCAATGATCCGCAACCCATCGCCAACGAGTTGATGAAGAAGGCCGCCGTCCAGGGTATCTTGGCGTAGCTTTCATAGAATTTATCGTTTTAGCGGTTATGTTGGGTCTTGTCACAAACAACACCATTTTGCAAGCCATCTCCAACCAGCCGGTGCTCAACGCTAATGCTCTCATCAAGGTATTTTTTCTTGATTTTTTCCGGCTATTCGGAGTAGTGACTGGTCCATTTTAGCTTTTTTAGTGTAACGCATGACATAGAAATCAGAAAACATTTTTTATCTGTTTCTAGGATGGCGACAGTGACATCAACAACGGTGCGGCCATCGCCAAGAGGCTGGACACGGTTCTGCACTCGATCATCGCCAATCAGCCATGCCAGAATATTGCCGATTTCCGTAAGCAGTAGATTGTGGAAACTCGGATATCGATGTTTTTAGCACCGGTCTGCTCCGAGTACATCGACGTCCAGCTGGCCTTCCACGCAAACCAGACTCTCATGCCCAAGGTAAATTAGACAATCAGCCTAAGCCTAAGCCTATCCTAAGCCAAACCGAAGCCAGGTCCAAGCCAAGCCTAAGCTTCATAGGCCTAACTCCAATTTTTCAGGTCCGCAACTTCATCACGCAGCTCCTGCTCCCGGCTCTATTTGGTGGCTCCCTCTCCGACAGGCCGTTGACGAAGAGCAGCACCGTGAACTTGGCTTTGATGACTTTGGACTCCAGCACGACTGTTACCAGCGTAAGCCTAAGCCTAAGCCTACACCTAAGCGCGCTTTAGCTAGCCGACTTCACTCAACTCTACTCTCCAAGCCGTTACGCCCAGATCGTCTCAAACGTCCTCGACAACGCAACGATCAGCACGGTGCCGTATGTGTCGAAGTAAGTCTTGGGGCTCTTTATTCAATTTTTGTCCTGATTTTAGCACTTTTAAAGCGTTATTAAGCTCTAAAAACCTCATTCAGGGTCTACAACCAATCGATCTATAACCGACAATGGGGCCGCCCCTTTGCCACCACCATCGTCATCATCATCTCCGACGCGTTCAGGTATTTGTCCGGATCCTCTTTTAAAATCGAGCGTTATTTCTAGCTCTTCCGATTACACGAACGCCCGTGCCATGCTCGACCGCCTTCAGCCCGCGTATGCTGAAGCTATCCAAATCGGAACCCTGGCGTCGCCGATTCCAGTTTCTGATGGCAATCCGATTATTGTCCCCGATATTAATGAGGCACGGCCTTGTTAATGACAGAGAAATATGCTTCAAAAAGTAGAGAACCGGTTGTAAAGTTGTTTTTAGCTCGACCCACTCTACATTCGCAGCTCCAAGGGATTGGCCGTGGCGCTGGCCAAAGCGGCTTGCAGAACTTTGACGACCTTGCGTAGGTTATTAAAAACAATAACGTGCTGTTTTACAGCGCTATGTAAAAAAATAGTACGTTTTCATAAATTGAAAACCCAATAGAAATTGAACTTTAGCTCCAAGCACGCCTCCCACGACGACAACGGCAAGGACAACTCCAGCTCCTCTTCCCCGACCGAAACCGAGGTAATTCTGAATGACTGGCTCTCTCTCTCCCTCTCTCCCTCTCTGCCTCTCTATCTCTCTATTTCTAGAGCCGTCTGGCCCGACATCACCTTCCTCGTCGACACCAGCTACGATGGAACCAACGCCATGACTGACCAGGGCTTCCAACAGGTTTTCTTAAACTGTGGCCCAGTTACCGTATCATTTTTCAGCTGCGCCAATTCATGTATCGCTACGTGCTCGACGAGCTGTTCATTGGGGATACTGGCTCGAGAATTACACTTGCTACTTTTGACGATTCCGTCAACGTGGCTTGCCAGTTTTCTGACGTGAGTTTTTGAGGCGATATCAGCGTTTAAAGTGATTTTGAATTCTTAGGAACCTATATTTTTAGATCCACAACTACTATGACCTGGCCGATTGCATCGTCAACAAGTTTGAGTACTCCATCACCAAGCCGAAAACAAAGACCAGGGATTTGGCGGGGTATGGATTAAAATTTTGGTGAGTTAAGGGAATTCTAGAGCTCTCGACTACCTTTCCAACAATGTTTACAACCTGACGAAGGGCTGGATTCCGGCCAAGGAGAATATTTTGGTCATCTTCACCACTGGATCGTGGGTTTTTACCTAAAATCGCGAGCTTCCGGTTGTCACAGTCCTTTTAAACTAATCGGACCGTATTTTTAGCAATTTTTCTGATAATTTTTTTTGAAAATGGTTTTGATTTGTTGCGTTTTCAGGAATAAAAATAATTAAATAAATCTTAGGTCGACAACGAACGCTTCCCGCGCCCTAGTTCATATGCAGCAGCTTATGGTCCGCACTTTCGGCATCAACTTGGGTGCGAATATGGACCCGTATGAGCTCAGGTATGGTTTTAAAGGCGTAGCGACACCTGGTGGCGTGCAAACTACACAATTAACGCAACGCCTAAACTTCAATCAAGTGAATTTGGTTTTAAAACCCCGTTTTACAGCTTGTACGGTCCCGATTCGTACGGCTTCCCCAACTGGGACGACCAAACCCACGGCATCATGGGCCAGAATAACTTTGGCTCCCGTATGATCGAGTACTTCACCCGGGCCCACCGTCAGCCACTCTCCAACTTCTACGCCGACTTCTTCTTCATCGTCGACGAATCGTACGCGATGAATGGGGTCTTCGACAGCGTTCGCACGTTTATCCTGAACTTTGTGCACCAATTGACACTTGGAGACAACAAGGTTCGGCTGTGGATCGTCCCATTCAACTCGGACGTCGTCCAGGATCAGGTGCTGGCGCAGAATGGCCGATTCTCGGTGGGTTTAACGAGCTTACGCTAGGGAATTAAAACGTAAAAACCGGTTACGTAATTTAAAACTGACCCATCCCTTCAGGACTTCGAATCCTGGTGGAACAACAAATTTGCATACAAGCAGCCTTCCAACACAACTTTTGTAAACATTGGAGCTGCCATTGATGCGGTCGCTGGATACCTTAATGTCACCTATCAAACTGACAGAATGGCGCACGTCACTTATATTGCGCAGTCACCAACGTAAGTTAAATTTGTTTAAGTTACGTTTTTTATGCTATAAGGAGACTTGGAAACTAAGGAATCGACCCTTCAGGTCCACTAGGTCCCGACAGTTACGTTTCACACCAAATCACGCTTTGACACGCGCAAAAATTACCGAATTTTGGGGAAAATTGAGGCACTGTCTAGCTTTGTTAGCACTTGTATTGAGCATTAAATTTATTAAAGCTACGCACGCGCCAGATCACGCGTGCCAGCGCTCATAAAAACACTTTTTTAATCTTCCAGCTTGATAAGTTGTTCATCATCATACGCATGTATTTTGCAGTATCGCGTACCTGTCGAGCCTTAATGATCTTTATCTGTTGATTTTCTCGCTTCTTAGTTTTTGAAGGAGTTTGTCCACACTTCTACTTAATGGATTTGTCGGTTCCAGTGTCACCGGAGCCGAAAAGGCCGCCCAACTGCAAGGCAAATCCAACGTCGCCAACTATGTCTTGCTCACCAATCCCGCCGCCAACTATTCACAGCAGCTGGTCACCGATGGCCGCCAAGTCTTTCGCATGTCCAGCCCGAAGGAGTTGAACAACTGGGTGACGTCTGGATTCGGGCTGAACAACATGAGCCGCTGGTTCGACACGATGGCTATCTGTAGGTTTTGAGGATCATGTTTGATTCCGATTTTGTGTTCGTCTACGGACTATTTTAGTCCAAGAAAACTACCGGGCTTCTCACGAGATGCAACTCGCTGAAGTGCAGATTGATGTGGCGTTTGCAGTTGATCAGACCGCGCTGGCGAATTCGGCAGCTTTCGAGGCGGTAAGTAACATTTTGTTGCTTGCCGGCTCTCTCTCACCCTCTCTAACTCGTCGATCTCTCTCTCTCTGTCTCTCTCTCGCTCTCTCTAGGTTTCTCTAACCTAAGCCTAAGTCTATGCCTTTTTCAGATCAAATCCTACATTGCCGGTTTCGTCAGCAAGTTCCACATCTCCAGAACCGGTACTCGATTCGCTCTTCAGTCCTTCAGCGCTCGACAGGTATGAAAAAATATACACATTCCGTCATCCTCAAAATTCAGGTCGTCGAGGGAGGATTCCACTTCATGGACAACAACGACACTGACACGGTCGTGAATATGATCAAGAATCTCAAGTACATCTCGTCGTCCGCTTCTGCCAGCTCGGATCTCGTTACGTAAGTAGTACTAAAACGTAGGGGAATAGCATACGCAGTGCTTACTATTATTATTCCTTTATTTTGAATCCCTTTCAGTACCCTCAGCCAAATCAACGACTTCTTCCTGCAGCCCGAGAAGGGATGGCGAAACGGCCCAACCTATGTTGTCATTTTCACTGGCGCTCAATAGTACGTTCCCTGTGCAAAATTCATCGTTAGACCTAGATTAAAAGTATAATTTAAGGTGAAATTTGACTTTCCAGCTACTACAACACCACGGCTTCCATCGCCGACGCCCTGAAAATTGGCCGAAAGGCCAGAGTCGCGGCCGTCGGCCTTACTGGCTCCCGAAAAGACTTTGTGCAGCAATTCCTGACCGGAAAATCGCAGAATCTGTACCCGGTAGGTAGTAGAAGAAAACTTTTGCTTTTAAATGTTGACTACTTGACGTTACTATGATACAAAAATTCGTACTGCGGCAACAAGCCAACAGAGAGTTTTTACCCAAATAGCGTCCATTTTAGGTCGTTGCGGATCCGCTTTCCTTGGTGGACGGTAGCTTGCCGGACAGGGTTATCTCGCACGATATGACCAAATGTAAGGAATATCGCCGCAGCCCTAGCTTTCTCTATACCTCGCTCTCCCTCTCTCCCTTGCCCTCTCTATTTCTCGCTCTTCCTCTCTCACTCTGTCTTTATCTCACTCGCTCTCTAAGACTCCTCTCGTTTTCAGGGTACGAAGACCTCGTCTACCCCGTGCTCCCTCATATCGATGACGTCCAAGCCGATTTCATTTTCTTGATCGATTATTACAACACGCTTGGAGCCGCAGGATTCGCCCAGGCATGAGTGGTCCCTAAAAAGAGCTATGTAGTATTTTAGGTCCAAAACTACCTGGTCGACCTCATCCAGAACCAAGTCACGACCCTCGGCGCCACGAGTCGATTGGCCGTCGTTGCTTACGGCTATACTGTAAGGAAATCGCTTGCATACGATATTAGGGGCACCTTTTAGGAGGTGATGGCCAGCTATTCCTGGGATCTCAACGCCTTCCACACACAAGCCGATCTGCTGAACGCCGTGAAGACGATGTCTTACTATTCTCGATACGTGGACAGTGATCTCGCCAGGTAAGAATCGTCGCGAAAGTCTTAAAAAATGTAATAGCAGGGGTGTAATCATTAGTGCGTAGACGGTCAGGTAATGCGGAATCGTGCTTTTTTCTTGTATAATCGAAGCTTTAGCTACTAGTTTGGCATCTTTAGATACAAATTAACAACTTGTACACTTAGAAAACTCATTATAGAGCGGTTGAATACTTCTTCCACAACGATACCTTCGGCTACGACGCCAACCGGCTGACGTTCGTGGTGGATATTGCCGTGTCGCCGACGTAAGTATCCCTCTCTCTCTCTTCTATCCCTCTCGCTCTCGCTCTCTCTCTCTCTTCCTCACTCGCTCTCTCTCTCTCTTTCTCTCTTTCTCTCTTTCTCTCTCATTTCCTTTATTACCTATCGGAAATGGTTGTCCGAAACTATCATTGCCACCTTTTTTTCAGCATCGGCCGCCAAATCCCCTTCCCCACCACAGTCCAACTCAACCGCGAAACGTTCACATATGCCTACACATATCCCAACGCCACAGTGTACCCCTATTTGAATCAGTTCCTCGGCGAAGAGGCATATGAGGTACGGTAGCTGGGACAGGGCTAAAACCCTAATTTTAGCACCTCAACGTCGGCTACCAGTTCGGCGCCGTCGACGGCATGTTCAAGCGATATGTCGTGGAAGGTGGGAATTGTATTTAAACACATTATAGAGTGTTACTATCACCTGCAGTGCTACTAAGCGTTCTGACCATTATTTTCATTTTTCAGCATGGCAAGCCTGGCAAGCCAACTATGGATAAGCCGCCCCCTAAAAACCTCTTCCTACTGCCTCCTACTTACTGATGGGTTCAAAAACATGATGTGATGCTTGTGTGATTTCCGTGACTTTTGTGTGCATTTTCGTGTTAGAATTTTGCCAATAAAAATATACTTAAAAATTGGAGGAATGCCCGAAAAGAAACCAGGAACACTAATGATATCCCTGTCGAGATAATGAGACACGCAACGCCACCGCACGCGCAGCGCTTGATACCAAACGAGTGTAGAAGAAGGGTTATGCATTAATGAAAAGAACGGTATAAAGGAATTTAAGTAAATAGAGCCCTGCGTTTATTTCATATCTATCTGGCAAATCGACGGGTAAGTCTTGGTAGCGGCGGCCATGTACAAGTCGGAGTATTTCGACTCAGAACCGTGCATCATATCCATCGTGGTAGCTACGTACGGCATCTCCTTGTTGACTGAAAAAAATCATAGACTCTGGTTAAAGAATCCAAAAAATTATGAGCTATACAGCCTCATAAGAGCTAAAAGGGAAACGACGAAAGAAAAACGTACATTTTGGCGCGGCTTTCGGGAAGAAGGCCTTCTTCCACTTTGCCAGACAGGCCTTGTCTTTCCCGATTTCTGGATAGGCGTACGCCTAAATCAAGTGGTTTGGTACCATTCAAGTTGGGTGGGGGAACATTTTTTAGGTCATTTTTTGGGTATTTTTGGTTATTCTTCTTAGTTTTTCTTTACGCTTATACGTAGCGTAGCTTAGTATTGGCTTAGCTTAGCCTTAGGTTTAGCTTAGCTTCTGGACGGGGGTGAGGCACCCTCGCCTTGGCTTAGCTTTTCAAAGGTTCGCTGCGTTTGGCTGGACTTAGATTTGAATTGATTTAGAATTTAGTTGAGCTTAGGAGTAGCGCATTGCGCTTGATTAGTCGCGAAAAACTGACCACGCAGCCCAAAAATGACCTAAAAAATTTTTGTCCCCCCCCCCCCAAATTGAATAGTACCGGAGGTTTACTAACACGGTGGAATGCTCGCATGAAGCTTTGTTAGGCGTAAAGTATACTGCAAAAGTTGTGCAGGTAACTTACGTTCATTCTCATCAGTTGTGTGAATGCTAATTGATCCGGCTTGGGGGTCGGCGTTTGCTTTTTCAGGGGCGTCAAGAAGCATTTGTAGACCGCGAGTCCGTAGCTGAAATATAACCTTTAAAAGGCTAGTTCAACTTTTACTTGGGCCGGTACCTTGGGAAACTATGGACGTAGGCACAGTGCGCCCGAACAGTCCCCCCATTACGACAGCTATTAGAGATCGGAGAAATGAGAGAGGCGCAGACACAAAAACGCAGAGAGGGTTCGACTCCTGGCCGCGGAAATTCTTTTGTTTTATTGGCTGAACTAGCCCTTTAATGCATAAAATATCGGAGTTAAAGAAAGTTAGTGGGTTGGGCAATAAAGCGCGAACAGTAATTACAAACTGATCGCTTACGCGCAGTCAAAACCCTGCGTCTTCGGCGGCTTCAATTTTGATGCGCATTTTGTGACGGCCTCGTGGAGGGGATCCAGCGACGCCTGCCCATTTCCAAGCGCCAAATCGGGGGCTAAAACTGATTAGATGCGATATCTTGAGCTTAATATCGTACACAGGTGTACAAAGGTGCACTCCGTCCCGTTTGTCCATTGCATCGCACCGCTAGGCAGGCCCACAATGCCCACCCAGGCCGGGTTGCTTCCTAAAAATTGCATTAACTGGTTTAAATTTTAAAGGGGCCGGAAAGATAAATATCTAGCGTAAACCTTTTGGTTATATTGTATCGATTTTTAAAGTCCAAAAACAATGAAACGCATTAAAAGCGAAAAATCGATTCATTCGATCGATACATTCTCAGGTTGAAATGAGACTTTTCAAGTTAACAGAATTAAACACCGGATTTAAATTACTTTTTATTAGTTTTAAAATAAGAATAGGCTGTTTTCAACTTACCTGGAAAAACCTTGCGCAGAGCCTGAGCACTCGCAGGGCTGGCAAGCTGAATTAGTTGTCCCTTCAATGATTTGCAGTTTTTCTGCGCGTCCACCCAGGTCATATCTAAAGATTAATAATTGTTTTCAAACTATTTGCCTTATTCGCTATGTTTTAAAAGCATCAAAATGTAATCTATAACAATTTCAAGAGTTCAATGACCGTATTTATCGTATTTTACGCCTTCAGAATAGGTATGTTTATTCAAAAATCTATTTGACAATTTAAAAAGACGATTCATTCGCTTAAAAGAGCTACTTACTTTTCGCGACAAACTGCACGCAATAGTTCTGGCCGGCCAGCGCTTTGCTCCCACTTGGGCAAGTCGGCGCCCCGAGTACCGTAGCCAAAAACAGCGAAACCAACGCGTACCTCGGCATCCCGTGCAAACGGACTGATGTGAACTTTCGGCCCTCAAACTCGACAATAAAAAGGGTCAAAGACTCGTTAAAATCGGATTTTTGTGGCGCTCCAAAAGCCGTTTTTCGACCCCGCTGCCCACACACTTGGGCTCTATTTTGCACCCCGGTTCTCGGGAGGTCATTATTGCAGCGTGGGCGTGCTGATCAGGGTTATTTTGGGGGTGCAACGCGCGTTGGCACGTAGGGTGACTAATTTTTGACGTTGACTAGTCTGTATTTGCTAGGTATCGGTTTTTTTGCATTTTCTATCTCAATACGTTGTTACTGTCTTTTAGGAAAACATGCAACAAACATAAGCATTTATGAGTTACCGCACGGATCGAACGGATTCGACGCTCGCCACGCAGCCATTCCTCGACAACCATTTGTGCGTAGACCCCAAGCAACGGGTCGAATTCCTCGTCTTGTATCTGCAATAGGGGTCCTTAGGCATTACCGCGGGCAGAGCTTTTTTAGTATCTATATTTACAAATATAAATGGTGGAAGTGTTTCTAACGGGTTTTTTTACTATTAATAAACGTGAAAACTTTAAGAATTTCTATTAAAAAATATCAAAAATACCAATTTAGCGACTGAAAATGGGGGCACCAGGAACTTTGCAAGAATATAAACCGCACCTCAAAATCCATTGTGGGCAGCTGCAGCGCAATATATTCCGGGAACGGTGCTTCGATGTTTGTGTCGAAATTTCCCGCCACCGCTTGGTTCAGCCATCCCAAGTCTTCTGGATCCGATGGGATCATCCGTACAGCAAGGATCAGCAGTATAAGTATAAGTATAAGTGTTTAACATTACCACTGAGTAGGAAGAAGCCTTGCTGAAAGTATAAGGAGCAGCAATTGCTAGACGTTGGAGCCAAATCTTGTAAATTTGGATGTGGGGAGCGGTTGGTATATTTGAACGTCTGGAGGAATAAATGATGAAAACTTTATGCACATTTTTCGCCCTCCCTCAGGCACGTATGCGTCGCGTCACAGCAATAATAGCCGCCCACGCATCGTCGCCTTGGTTCCACAACGCAATAATAACCCGGCTCGAGGATCTCCTTAAGCGAACAACTCTAGTGGTATCCGACCTTAAGCCTACGATTTGTAGGCAGCGTCTAGTCGTGGCGTCACAATAAAAAGCGCCGGCTCCTCGGCAATCCGAGTTGTCCCAGCACGAGTCCTTAAACAAAGAGTGGTTTTCACTGCAAAGTCTTTTCACATTTGATGCAAATTCCAATCGGGACCAAGCCGACCTGGCACAGAAATTGTCGCCGATTCCGAACCTGTTTGCCAAATTTATTGAGGAGCCCGCTTCAAAAAGCTACAGCTATTTTCCCTGCTTTTTCAAAGAGCTACCTCACGGACCTGTAGCTCAAAACCCAGTGATTCGATTAATTTTTCAAGCGTTGCCATCCCAGCCGCCTGGCTCCGGCCTTCTGCCCCACCCCGACAAAGAAAGTTTTTCATGGATTTTGGGATAAGCGTTGGGTTCGCGAACGCCGCCAGCGCACTTCCACCCCAGGGGATGGTCTGTGTTTATCGAAAAAGGATTATATTCGAAACAGAATCCCTCTCAGAACTTCAAGATCCATCAAATGGGCTATGTACACCGTAAAAGCACAAAAACTCGTAAACATTTTGACTCCTGAGAAAAACAAGATTTAGGCTCACCCCCCTCAAGCAAGCACCCAATGTGAAGACGCTGGCCAAAGTATAAAAATACAGGACGAAGCGCATGGTTTTGAGAGAGAAGAAAAAGGAAAGTTTGGGATATTTATACCAAGAGATGTTATTTTATGCAACAGACCCCCCGCTTACCCGGTTAAATCGTTGGACGTGCAGGTTTTTCAGGTACGATCTGCGGAATCCTTCGAAAAATCTGCGAAAAACTGTCTACTGTTTGCTCGATTTATCACTCGAATGATCATGCCTTTGCTAATTTCTCTTAGTCTCTTTGTCTTTCTCTGTCTCTCTCTGTCTCTCCGCTTTGTCTCTCTCGCTCTCTCTCTCTCTCTCTCTCTGTCTCTCGCCCTCTCTCTATCTTTATCGGACCGCCTAGACGGCGCTTCAAATGGATGCAAAATTGGCTGTAGAGCACTTGCAGCTAGTTTTGAAGATTATTTTGCGTATTTTTTTGCGGATAAGCCGGTATTTTCAAAGCCACGTCAGATAGAAAATGACTAGGGAGATCGGAGAAAAATCCAGAAAGGCCAATTATCACCACCGTTCTCCAGCGGTGGCACGTTTTCAATAGGCGCCACTCCGTGACCTTTATCTTTCTTACCGACCTCTTTATCGACCTCTATGCGGATTATCTTTCTTATTTTCCTACTTTATTTATGTGACGCACTACGCAAGAAACCCATCGCTAAAGTGCCAGTACGTCCAATCCGTCAGGTGGATCGTGACGGAATTTTGGATCGAGAAGCGGTGCTGAAATTCCAAAGCTTCAAGGGGCGGTAAGATGATCAAATTTCCTTCAGGTTCTACCGTAACTGCACAGATGGTAGTGTCGATTGTAAGAAACGGAAACGTAATTTTGCCCATAATTTGAAGTGTTTGAAGGAAGCGCAAACGAGCGGAAAACAGCT